TATCTTGGTTACTTAGTTCGTCGCGAAACCCACTCTCCAGGTGGATTCCACGTAACTACTACTGTCTGTCACGAAGAGAATGGACCTTGCCGCGGTATGACGGTTCGCGCACCTCGGCGATCCATTAAGCTATACTGGGGAGTGTCCGTGTGACACTCGCAGAGTCTCCCATACCAGGTTTCCCAATGGTTCGGGGTCTCCTGGTCCCCCAGGTTGAGGGTTGGAACATGTATAGCGACTTGTTCCGTAGAAATGGCAATACATTTGCATTCCCCGCCAAACACGACTGCCTTGCGGTTAGGCTTTTGAGCCAGAGGCTTTGGTTGAGGACCCTGATCGGCCTTCCGTCTAGGTGTAGGCGCCCTGACATTATCACAATCAATATACGGCAGTGAGGCACCGGTGTTGAACACTGATGTCATGCTGTCGATGATGATGATGATGACGACGCAGATAAACAGAAATACGGGATGATGATGATGATGACGACGCAGATAAACAGATAGAAATACGGACAGACACTTGCTTGTTGACGGGTGCCACGAACTCAGTTAGACCTGGTCTTTTGACCTGAAGGCTTAGTATCCCCCTTTCTCCCCGCCCGTGCTGTTATCCCGACAGCTTAGTTGTCCTCATCCTCGGTGTCATTTTTGGATCGTTGCTGGCGAATCCCTTAATTACATCACGCCTGGTGATCGCCAGTATTTTACGCAATTTTTCTCTGACAATTCTGCGATCTTTCGATGCGATTTATCCGTAAATCTGTTACCCACTGGGATACCTACACCAAACGCCCCGGGTTGTGTTCTGTTAGTGGCCCAGAATGGTTCGAAGGTTAGTTTTTGGAGGATCATGGCCAGTGATCTCCACCTGTTTTTATTGGAATCTCACATTCATTTGACTAAAGAAAAATCATTTTTCGTCACGTGGACGAGATCAAATCACAGGCGCTTTGTTTAGGTTATCCATACATGCGTCTCAATTTGTTAACAGCTATAAATGAACTGTCAAGCTCGGCGAACCGATCAACAGCTACCTGATCAACAGCCAACAGTATCGTACAGTGCATAGTACCACACTGGACGCTCAAAGCTGTTGCTTAAATAGGGAGAATACCGGCTTCGTGTTACCATTGCATTTAAGAGGTAACCCACGAAGAAGGTATGCAGAAAGTACTCTTTGGTCATTTTTCGGTGGCGTCGCACTTCGCCGGACCCGCTGGTCAGTTGGTAAACGCGCATTTTTCGAGCAACCCTATATTGAGTTTCTGATTCTTTTCCGCTGAAATCTATGTCGCTTTTCATATTGGGCGAAATAGGAAATATATATATATATATATGCATGTGTATCAGCCCCTAGCTAGGTTGATGAATCACCATGAAGCTCAGAACCTAAAGAGTAGTATTGCACTCCTAACTTGTCGGCTCTTATTCTTTCCGTTCCATCGGTCGTAGGAGCCTTTCAGGCAGGTTCTTAGTTTGGTACCGAACAACATCTTTGTCGAGTAAAGTGCCGACAGTGGGGATACCGAACAGAGCAACTACGTTAGCCGACAGCCAGAAACACAGAATAATAGGCATTTAATATCAAGTCAGAACCCAAGAAACAACAGCTCGCAGGGGGTCACATGATGACTGGAGTGAAGTGAAACTGTAGACTGTTTATGTTGCGTCCCTCCACGAAACATGCACGTCGATCAACATTACTTCATAGTGTGCGAGAGGTCGCAATATCTCTTCATCAGTTGAGGGTAGAACTATTTTCCTAGCACAGGATGTGTTTCCTGACTAAAAAAACTTGTATAGTGTTTGCTACTTTGTATCTTTCGAGTTGGTGCATTCCAAGGCATATGGTTCACTAAGCGATCCCAGTGAATCCGATCTTGTGTGGTTGACTGCTGAATACAAGCATGCACCTTGTGCAGTTCAAATAGACTCTCAGTCTACTCTGAAGTTGAGACCATTCCCCCGTACTTAAGGTCACATTCCTGCACAGTCGCCATCTGGTAGCTGCTACTTTTAGGCGTCTCACTGGTGTGAAATAGTTGTGACTATTTTAGGCACCAATGTTCACGATGTTCACTAGAAATACAGTCATTTGCAAACCAATTTTTTTCACCAGAGACTCAACTGAATCGCTCGTTTATGACATTCTACAACTGAATGTGCTGCACACAGGCCGTCTCATGTTTCAGTTGGCACGATATTCGAGATATCGCAATAAATCTTTATGAAGGAAACAAAGGATTCAATTGAGTCTCTTGTGAGAACCAAATTGGTTTGCAAATGAGTGTAGTTCTCTAAAACAGTCCAATTCGGGTTCAAGTAAAACATAAGTTTGACGGAAACTCGGGGACTGCGCCTACCTGATGAGCCCCAAGCGAAAGAGCGAAACCGGTCATGGGCTGTCAAAGAGTCTTCAGCAATCTTGTGAGTAGTTTCCTTCACGGTGTTTAGATTGGAGACAACTTAATAAAACAAACATCGCATACGTATATCCATTGTGACAAATCTCTCTCACAGTTACTCCATAGCTTCAAAAAATGGCTTTATAGTTCGGGACTTCCACAGATCACCTACTTGTAAGTAATCATTGTCATCCTTAGGTATTTTTGTATCCTTTATCTTGTACGCACACACGTGGAATACTTTGGCTGCACAGTTACGGTAAACGGACTTTGGACCTGCTGATCAAAATTAGACACACCTCCATTGTCACCATCATCATCATCATCATCATCATCATCATCATCATCATCATCATCATCATCATCATCATCATCATCATCATCATCATC